CAAATATCCAAACTGTATGATAGTTGGGTGGTAAGCTGAAGAACGGCTGACGCAGCATCAGCGGGAAGCCTGCCGCCTCCAGCAGAATCCCAGGCTTGGCTGGGCGTGGCACAGGCCGGCAAGCTGACTGGGGGAGGCTGAGGCAGGAGGATCTCAGATTCAAGGCCAGCTAGGCGGCTGAGGGCTGGGGGCGTGATGCAGCTCCAGAACAAGAGGCCTGGAAAGCCAGAGAAAATGTCTGGATTTTGTTTTAGGGGCAGTGAAGGGCCCCGCAGGTCTGAAGTAGGATGTGAAGAGTTCTTGATGACTTTTCAATAGATGCTTCCTGGAAAACGGGGCTCATAAGAATTGGAGTTAACACCTACTGCAAATAACCCAGCAGGAGATGACCATGGCCAAGTGTGGCATGGGACCCCTGGAGCATGGCTGGGACCGCTCATCCTGAGCAGGGGTCCAGCTGACTTTAGGAAGTCCTTAGGGAAGGCAGGTGCCTTCCTTAAAAAGACAGAAGCCAAGCACTTGCTGGGGACTCTTCTCAGCAGACCAGAGGCCAACAGCTCTGTGGTCAGCTGCCTCCCCTCCGGCTTCCTGCTGTTCCCAGTCAGAACCGGCACCCCCAGGGTCCACTGGTGGCCACCAAGAAGACCCTCTTCCTCCAGACACCTGATGSCTGGAGGGCTCTGTGCCTTGTTCGGGAGCTTCTGGGTGGCAGGCGGCACCATGTTCACAGAGGGGCGATTAAGAGGCTTAATTTCATAAGCAAATGCAACCTTTCCACATCCGGGAGGATGCTTTAGTCTTACTGTTTTCTTAAATTTCATCAAACAACGTCCAAGGGTGCCATGAATCCAAAGATGTAAAGCAGGAGCTGAGCCATGTTTGCCCAGGCCCAGGGATTAAACAACCGCATTCAGAGGGATTTTTGCCATAAGTACTTCTTATTGGTTTTCACGAGGTGGTTTAAGGTGCAAGAGAAAGCAAACAGAGGGATGGAAGTGGCGTCAGGAGGGATTAAGGTGGAAGGCCACAAAGCAGGGCAGATTAAAGGCCCAGCTGTTAAGAGAACAGACAACTTGGCCTTCTGGGAAGCCACCAAGCTGTGCCAGGCAGTCTCCTGGAGAGTTGGGGACAGAGTTCCCAAGCTGTCCTGGCAGGTGGCCCTCGAGGTTCTCAGGGCCTAGGGACACACGCTGCTTCCCACCTGGGTGGCCACACTGGGGGACACTTCCATGTCGCCACTTCTTTCCCCCAGGGAGTTGCTGGCTTCTGCCTCTGGTGGTCCCTGGGATACCACTGAGTTGGGGCCTCCCCCCACAGCTCTGGCTCCACCTTGACCCCCCAGGACCTCCTCCTAACCCTGGCCAGTGCCACGGGGGAACTGCCCAGGTGTACAGGAAGGATGGGAAGTTTCCCCGTGAGGCATGTACCCTTCCTCTGTTGTGGCTCACACACAGGACGAAGGGACAGGCTCTGCCCTGCCAGGCCCTTCTGACTCTGACCCAGGGTCCCCCTGTGCGACTCCTGGAAGCCTGCCCTTCTCAGGCACCACAGCTGGCCTGCTCCCCTCCCCAGTGGCCCCCGCCAAGTGCAGGTGGAAACACAGAACCCTGGTTCACGCGGATGGCAAGCGGGAGGCTGCAGCCCTCTGCCAAGCCAAGGGCAGCTTCCCAGGAACACACTTCTCAATCCAGAAGCCAAGCCTGGGCTTCATTCATCCCAGGRCCACGGAAATCCACGTGATCCTGCTCAGTTATGTGCGAGACCCTGCCCCTGGTGTCTAGAGCAGTCTTATTTATGTCCTTGACAAACTGGTCAGTCCCCACTGGGGCCATCAGCAGGACAAGGCAATGACCTGCTTATGAACACCGCCCATGGGGGGTCTCAAGGCATCCAGGGTCAAAAGGCCACAGTGGAATGGCTCCTTTATGCCACCTTACCAAGATAAGACTCAGCCACAAGGCGGCGAGGCAGGGAGTGGCCTTGAGGGGTCTGGCTGGAGGCACATTCCCTTAGAGGAACTACGTGGGTGACTGCAGGCTCTTGTGCAGGCCCCTGGGTACAGATTTCACTGTGAGGGCAGCCTTCAAGGCAGGAGGAAGAGCCTTCTCCTTCTGAGAGACTGTCTCTGCCATGCCCCCCATTCCCATGTCCTCATCACTGACCCTGTGACTGCCACCAGACCCRGTACCAGGGAGCTGGCAGAGGGGACTCTACTGAGGGTTGGGGGTACAGAGGTCATCCTGGGTTATCTGGGTGAGTCCTGCACAGTGGGCAGRGGACAGAGGGTAAGAAGGCCAGGTGGTGGTGGACACAGAGGTGGCAGAGTCTGGAAGACACTACTGACCTGCGMGCAGAGGGAAGTCCAGGAATGGCGCCCCCAGCACATTCTGGCAAAGGCCAGAAGGGATTCTCCCTCGAGCCTCCCAGGGACCAGCCCCCGGAGGGCCGACTTCAGCCTCGGGCTGCCAGGGTTGGAACAGGTGTGTGACGTCTTAAAGCGTTTTGTGGTGACATGCCACCCCAGCAGTAGGAAACCCACAGACTATGAATCTGTTATCATTTCAAAACAAGAGTTTTGAAAAGCAGGCCAGTTCAGGGTGAAGGCCTGCCCCCTAGCAGGCGGGCGGGGCAGGAGGGAGGTCCTCCTCGCAGCCCCGGCCAGGGTTTCCCTGCAGCCCATTTTCCTCTACACTGCCCTGTGMTCAGACTGCACAAAGGAGAAAAGTGCTCAAGTCCTGCCACACTGCCCACGGTCACGCTGGCCAGGGCCGGGAGCTGCGCAGGCTTCTGCACCTGTTCCCAGCGCCCTCCAAGCTCCCCTGCCGCGGCATGGTGCCGTGTGTCCAGGCGTGCTCCTCTCCCCTCCCCCGGGTGGACGAGAGCCTGGGAACAGAGGACCAGCTCTGCAGCCCGATGGCAGGAGCACAGGAGGCCACCCACTTGCCCCCAACACACCATCTACCTGAACTTCTGCCTGGGTGCAAGGCACTCACGGAAGTCAAGGGCACTTTGTGCCCCTTCACCCAGAATTACCCTCCTTCGGGGTTTTCTGTAATCCCTCACGGACTGGGGAATAAGTCTTTTCTTGACACATTTGCAGTTTCTTTGAGCAACCTGGAATCAGTGGATCCCATGAATGTCCCCTCCCCATATCTGGGGGCCCCAGGCTGAAGCCCCTGAGTGGCTGGCCAACCCTCTCCCCAAGAGGAGCCTGTCATGATCTGCTATGCATGTGACTGACACCCTCTCAAGGCAGCAGCACGTGGGGCCACCCTGGGTGGCTGTGGAAGGCACAGTCGGTCCCTCTCATTTGCCAGGAAGCCACCCTTTATCGTTGATCTACTGTTCCTGGGAAGTCTGGGACTGGCCACGGTGAACTGCTCCCCATCCTTGTGTTGTTTTAGCCAACAATTCCTTTTCTGAACACTGCTCATGTGTTACAACGTGACAATTTCAGACCATCCCTGCCTGCAGAGGCAGATGAACTCTCCACAGTGAAGACAAAGGGTTCCAGACATCTGCTGCCATTGCAAGCTGACTTTCAAGACRTGGCAGCCGTCAAGCCAGTGTACTTTTCTGCCTCAGGGTCTTCAATTTTTTTTTCTTGGTCATGCTGGGGCTCAAACCCAGGGCTTCTTCCATGCTAGGCAAGGGTTCTATGCTGAGCTACATCCCCAGCCCTGTTTTATTCCYATTTTGAAATTAATTATGTTTTCTATGCTGCTTTCCCTGGTGAACCAGAGTAATTTCGTTGTKGGGAAGAATTTCTCAAACAAATCCCAAATTCCCTGGTAGGAGAACTGAGCAATTCTCAAACAACCCTTAAAAGTATGTAAAGCCCCCAGTCTGGGATTTCTAGGGCAGCAACCTGTAATCCGGAGAGCAGAGGATAAATATGAAGAGCCTGCCCTCCAGGGAGGGCACAACGCTGTTCAAATGTCATGAACACGAATAGAAGCCATCTCCCCGCCAGGTGTCTCGAGGAGAAAAAGGTTACATTTGTTAGCGTTTTGGCGTTTCCAAAGTCAGGTACAGCGGGTCTCCACAAAGCCCCAGAGGCCCGCAGGTTTCCCCAATTCCCAGCGATTCAAACTTGACAGCCCCCAGCACTGGCAAGGCGAGGGTGTGGTCGTCCCAAGCGACTCCCCTGAGCAAAGCGCGAGGGCAGCAGGACTTCTGGGCCGCAGTCGGGTCTTCTGGCTCTTTCTGGGCTGACCCAGGCAAGAGCCAAGTCCCTTGGCCTGCAGCTCTAGCACCCTCCCGTGTGCATGGGATGGGTCCAGCGGCAGGGACCCAGGTGAGGGAGCTCGGGCAGGAAGGCAGGCTGCATCTGCCCCCTTCCCTTGGTAGTGGATGGTAACAAGGGATTGATTTGGGGTGCATGCTTACAGTCAGGACCACAACAGAATCCTGAAAACCTGCAAAGAGGAATTCCGGCTGGAGTTAAGGAGGAGTCTAAGAGGAGGAACTGCCATCTGCCAGGAGCTCTGGCAAGCAACATGGGCGCCCCAGGACCAGCGTGCGTCCTGGGTCCCTCTGAAACCCCTGAAGGGCTGTGTCTACACCCTTCAGCGAGACAGAGCGGCCAGTCCCCTTCGCTTGGGGCACGCTGCCTGGCTCCTTCCGCACCCCTCCTGTCCGGACCCCAGGGCAGCCCATCTGGGGTCATGGCCCATCTGAGACAAATAGGGGCGCAGAAGCACCTGTACCTTACAGGTATCGCCTCTCCCACTGCTGGCCCTGTGCTACCCTTGCAGCCGCACTTGCGCCTGGGCAGGGTGCGGCGGTGGGCACACGCATGTGGGGCGCACAAGCGACAGACCACCGCGGGGCGCGGCGGGGGAGGGGAAAGGCAAGGCTCCGCCCCTTCCTCTTTCAGCCCGCCTCCTCCGTGCGGACCCCACCCCTTCCTCCGTGCGGGCCCGCCCCCGCCCGGTCTTTCCCAGCGGCGCGCGCGCAYGGTTTCCCGCACGTGGGGGCCGGCCAAAACCTCCGGGGCGATGYCGCTCGCGCCCCGGTGCCGGGCGGTGCGCGCCTTGCTGCGCAGACACTACCGCGAGGTGCTGCCGCTGGCGGCCTTCGCGCGCCGCCTGGGGCCCGAGGGCCGGCGGCTCGTGCGGCGAGGAGACCCGGCGGCGTTCTGCGCTCTCGTGGCCCAGTGCCTGGTGTGTGTGCCCTGGGACGCGCAGCCGCCTCCCGCCGCCCCCTCCTTCCGCCAGGTGGGACGCCCTGGGGATCCGGGAGGGTGGGGACGGGGGAAGAGGCGGGACTCAGCGCAGCGCGACTCCCGGACACCTCCGTCCTCAGCGACTCAGGACCTTCTCCCCTGCAGGTGTCCTGCTTGAAGGAGTTGGTGGCCAGGGTCGTACAGAGGCTCTGCGAGCGCGGCGTGAGGAATGTGCTGGCCTTTGGCTTCGCGCTGCTGGACGGTGCCCGTGGCGGGCCACCTATGGCCTTCACGACCAGCGTTCGAAGCTATTTGCCTAATACGGTGACGGAGACTCTGCGCGGTAGCGGCGCGTGGGGGATGCTCCTCCATCGCCTGGGCGACGACGTGCTTGTCCATCTGCTGGCCCGCTGCGCTCTCTACCTGCTGGTGGCACCCAATTGTGCCTACCAGGTGTGTGGGCCGCCTCTCTATGAACTCTCCGCTACCGACAAGGCCCAGCCCACAGTGCCGCGGACCCGCTGGCCCAGGCGCACAGGCCAGACAGGCCACCGATCCACAGGCCCAGTCCAGAACAGCAGCAGCCAGGAGGCCCTGGGCCGGCCAGCCCCAGGTGCAAAGCGGCACCTAGACAACGCAGGCAGAAGTCCGCCTTTGGCCAAGAAGYCGAGGTGCAGCCTGGGCCTGGAGCAGGCCTGTGGGCCAACTCCTGGAAAACCCTGTGGGGTGACCCCCCACCCCGCCGCAGCTGAAGCCACATCATTGGAAGCTAAGTCCAGAGCCCAGCAGTCCTCCCGCCCACCCACACTGTGGCCACCACAGCCCCAACCACAGGTGGAGGTCAAGTGCTTCCTCTATACCTGTTCTCGGGGCAGGGAGCAGCTGCACCCCTCCTTCCCTCTCAGCTCCCTGCGGCCCAGCCTGAGTGGGGCCCAGAGGCTTGTGGAGATCATCTTTCTAGGACCAGTGCCCCTCCAGCTGGGGGTGCCTGGCAGGACACACCGCCTGTCCCCACGCTACGGGCAGATGCGACCCCTGTTCCGGGAACTGCTGGCCAACCATGCACAGTGCCCTTACCTTGCTCTTCTGAGGATGCACTGTCCACTTMAGGCTGCGGCCACCCAGGTGGCCCGTGCCTGTGCCTCAGGGAGGCCAGCTGAGGCTCCTGGGGGGTCTGCAGACCCGGGCCACCTGGCTGAGCTGCTCGACCAGCACAGCAGCCCCTGGCAGGTCTATGCGTTCCTCCGGGCCTGTCTCAGCAGGCTGGTCCCCGCCGGCCTCTGGGGCTCCAGGCACAACCAGCGCCGCTTCTTGAGGAACGTGAAGAGGTTCATCTCTCTGGGAAAGCACGCCAGGCTGTCACTGCGGGAGCTGACGTGGAAGATGAAGGTGCGGGACTGTGCTTGGCTGCGCAGGAGCCCAGGTGAGGAGGGGCCGCCCTCCCGGCCAGCACTGGCCAGCCCTGCAGCACGTGCAGTAGCGCTTAGGGGAGTGGCCCAGTTGAAGGCAGGGGCCCTGGGTCCCCGTGCAGGTGACAGGTTTCCTGACCTGTGGCTGTCAGGGAGCTCCAGCTGATCTCTGCCTGAGTGCGCTCTCTCCAGTTGGCAGGGACCTAAGAGACTCCTGTCCACGTTCATTGGGGCACTGGGGATGGCACAGTGAACAGATAGGGCAGGAGTGCGTGGCAGTGGGTTCTGGCAACAGGGGAGGGTCCCGGAGGTCATAGCTTTCTTGAGAGGCAGGCTATACTGAATCCTCTCTGGACCTCAGAGCTCATCCCTGAGAATGGTGCCTTACCTGATAGCAACAGGGATGGGAGAAGGTGTCCAGGTCACCGGTGTGCAGGTGCGTAGGTTTTTTGTGTTTTTTTGGAGGGTACCAGGGATTGAACTCAGGGGCACTGGGTTACTGAGCCACATCCCCAGCCCTATTTTGTATTTTATTTAGACACAGGGTCTCACTGAGTTGCTTAGTGCCTCGCCATTGCTGAGGCTGGCTTTGAATTTGTGATCCTCCTGCCTCAGCCTCCTGAGATACTGGATTACAGGCCTGTGCCACCACACCCAGCAGGCGTGTAGGTTTTTTCCTTTTTTTTTTTTTTTTGTAGGTTTTTAAATATTTTTTTAGTTGTCAATAGATGTTCATTTTACTTATTTATATGTGAGCCTCACATGTGCTAGGCCAGCGCTCTCCCTCTGAGCCACAACCCCAGCCCAGTATACACACCTTGTCATGGTGTGTATGCTGGGCAGGGCAGGGTCGGGGAGAGAGACCAGGAAGAAGACCACCCAAGCCCTCCTCTCTGCCCGTTGTTCAGGCCTCCATCACCTTGGTCCACCAGGCCTGCCTGTCCACTTCCCTGGCTGCCAGGCCCTGTGGCCCCCTGGAACCCTCTGCCCTCATAGGCTGTGTTTTCTGCAGCCCTGAAGACCAGACTGCAGGGATGTCCGTATCCGCTGCCCATTATGGCTGGAGACCTGCCCAGAGGGTTCCCTGTGGCCTGCTGGGAGTGAGGCGCCTTGGCCTCCACTTGTCCAGATCTCTCCCAAGCCGCTCCTGCTCTGGCCCCTTGGATGGGGCCACCCTGGCCCCTTGATCTGGGCCTGTGCCACATCTCGCCCAGGCGGAGCCCTGCCTGCTCTCCGTCTTTGGCCGGCTGCATGGTCCCTTTCCCGGTTTCCCACAGAACCTAGCTGGTCCTCTCTGTTGGGGCTTTGTTTTGAGTTTGATTTCTCCCTGATGTCTGGGTCTTCCTCCTGCTTCTTTTAGGGGTCCTTGTTAGTTTTCTAACTTCTTAGGGGGGTTCTTCACTGTGTCTCCCTCCAAGTACGCCTTAGCTGTGCCTGTTTTTTGATGTGGAGTCATTTAGGTGCAACCRTTCTGGGGGATATTTTCTAACTTCTATGATTTCTTTGACCAGTGAGCTACTTAGGCATATTTTTTATTTTCCAAATGAATGGGGTCTGTTTTAATCAGCCTTTTCACTGCTGTGACCGGAACGATTTCAGAGGAGGAAGTTTATTTGGTGCTCGCTGTCTCTGAGGTCTCGGTCCACAGACGGTCAGCCCAAGGTGAGGCAGGACACATGGTGGAAGGGTGTGGAGGAGGAGCACAGCTCAGGACATGGCACCAGGAAGTAGAGAGACTGAGCTGCGCTCACCGGGGACAGAATGTCAGGCCTGCGCCTGGGGACCCCCTGCTGCGGTTACCTCCCAGTGGCTCCCTGTCGGGATCGGGATTGACACTGACGAGGTGACGCCTCTCAACCTGATGGCTTCCCCGTGAACTCTCTGTGCCGTCCCACCCAGGAGCTTCTGGGGGACATCTCAGACCAACCCCAGGAGATCTGGAAGGGCCTGTCGTGATTTCTAGCTGGTCTGTGTGACAGCCGTGGTCTGAGGTTGGTGTTTTGGCACCCAGRGGATGGGCAGTGAGCGTGGTCATCTCTGTGCCCTGTGTGGTCTTGCTGACCGCTGCATGGGGCCTGYGGAGGCCGGAAGGCCTGGGGGCACTGCGGTCCCGCTCCAGGGTGGCTGTGCTGCGTCCTCTTGCCCTGGAGTCTGCAGGCCGTGTTCGGGTGTGGTCTCTGGTGAGGGTGTCATTGCAGGACAGTGACGTGAGGAGTTCTCGCCCTGCTGACTCTTTCCCGTTCTCCGGCACGGCTGTGCTGGGCTGGCTTTTTTTTTTTTTAGTATTTTTTTAGTTATACATGGACACGATATCTTTATTTCGTTTTCTTGTTTTCACCTGGTGCTGAGGTTGCCACCCAGTGCCCCACCCGTGCGAGGCAAGCACTCCACGCTGAGCCACCACCCAGCCCGGGCTGCCTTTTGTCCAGTGCTTTCCCGTCGGGGCCTTTCTCCTCCACTAGGTGTCTTACTTTTGGGGCCGTGCTGGGGGTTGGACTCAGGGGCACTTGGCCACGGAGCCGCACCCCGCCTTTCTTAGGTGTTTTATCTGGAGAAGAGCCTGGCTGAGCTGCGGAGCTGCGTGGCGCCTTGCCGTGGCTGAGCTGGCTTTGAGCTCGCCGTGGGCCTGGATCTGCACCAGTCTTTATCTTCACCTTTTCAGATCCTAGCCGCTGGGTCCGTCTCTTCAGTAGCAGGGAGGTGGGTTTATTTCCTGTCCCTTCTGACAGTTGTCACTTAACTGGACAGCTGGACAGCCTGTTGTGTTTGTTGGTGAAAGAAAGTGAGAAAGCGAGAGACCACGGGGGGTGGGGCTGCGGTGGTGGTGAAGGACGGAGGCCAGGCAGAGGTCCACCCGAGGGTTCGTTTGTCAGAGCTGACAATAAAGGCCACCCCCCTGTAGGAGAGAGGCCCCGAGGTGTCCGGGGCTCAGCTGTTGTGGGACAGGCTGGGGGTGCTTCGTCAGAGCCAGGCGGGTGGGAGAGCGTGGGATTGGCTGGGGTTAGGGT